TTGAAAATTAAGGACTGCTCTAAACTAAATTTAATTCATGACATTATCTAATGTCTCTTTCTAGGAAATTCTTCTTATGGATTCTCCTACTAACAGAAACAACTATAGGAAGTATTTCTGATGGACCTTGATTTCTTTTGAATGCATGCCCTTCCCAAAGATCCTCCCAAAACATTTCCTAATTTTTAAGGCTGTTCATCTCATCACCTGAGGCATCTGAGAGATGAGGTTGTAATAAGTTTAAAAGCAGAAATTAGTTATTCCTGGAACATGAGGCGATTTACCCAATTATTCCTCTTAAACATGCCCAGTGCATAGCAGGCCATGACTGATTCATCTGCTCTTGTGGTTCACTCAAACCATACAGGCTGTTAGGTGAATTCACTGTGGGTTTTGAACAGCTGAGTGAATTAAATTGGCCTAGTGACAGGAGGAAACAGAGGAAGACTTTTATAAGTGACTTCAGGTAGTGCTGGACCATTTCAGGTACTGTATTATTTCTTGAAATAATACAAACAGACTTCACCTGTGGGACAGATTTTCATAAATTAGCCCCACCCCCACCCCACCACAAACAATCTGGGAAAATTAGTCATTTTCTTGTACAGAAAGTAGTCTGTATTATAGAGACAGTTTATAGATCCAGTGTCCTCATACTTTTAAGGAGTTCATATGTAAAAAATAAGGGTCTCCTGGAGACTGAGAAATAGGGACCTACACAGAGACCAGAGCCCTGGAGATAACAACTAACCAGCTCCCAGTGTTACAATTTCTGGTGATGCTCCAAGGCACTGCTGAAGACTATCGCTGAAGTCCTCAAGCCTAGGGAATCAGTCAACATGGGACAGTGGGCAGGGATTCAGATGTGTTCCCTGGTTACTGATGGACACTTCCAGGACTATGTGCAGATGCTGGCAGCTGCCAGAAAAAGTGAAAGCAAAAAAGTGTATCCTGAAGTACTGAATAAATTCTTTAGAAATAATTTTCATTCTAGTTCCATAGGGAACTAGTGTTAAGCACAAAAACAGCTTCCGGAATTCTGGTTTTAAGGGACAGGCAGTATGACAGAGAGATGGTTATAACCTTATAATAAGAACACAGGTTGCAACATGTGTAAATACTGAATAGTTTCTCTGGTGTGAGAAACTGAAAGTGTAAATAAGGACTAAATGTATAATAGGTAATGTGAAATAGGAAGAAAAGGG